AATAGGAAGGATAACAGCACTAGTTATCATTCAAATGGGTCAAGCATTCAAAATCAAAAGGGCAACACATTTTCTGAGGACAGCATTAAGGATTGGGAAGGTATGTGTAATGCAAAAAGAAACAATAGGAAGCAAGTTTGACGTGGAAGTGATTGCAATCATTGAGATGAAACAAAAAAGTATTTGTTAGAATGTAAAACTGATGATCTTGTCTGTAAATTTACACTCAATTCAAAAATAAAAAATAAGAAAATGAAATAGAGAAAAAAGAGAACATTTCAAGATCTATCTTGAAGTCTAATGCTGTCTGTGGTAGGGTAATATCTATATGCCTACAAGGAAGGCCAGTTTATACCACTGTTTTTACTCACCAAGCACTAAAGCCAGTGATATGAAATTATTCTGCCAGCTTTTTCGGACTAATGTGGCGTTTTAGGGAAAGCACTGGATTGCGAATTAAAAGGTCGGCAGTTCAAATCCATCAGCTGTTCCCTGGAAACTATACAGGGTTGATGAGTCAGAACCAACTTGATGGTACTAAACAACAACCAACTTTTTCAGACTGAAATTGATCAAGCATGCAATCAAGATGTACTGATAATTACTGGTGATTGAAATGTAAAGGTTGGAGACAAAGAGGAAGGATCAGTAGTTGCAAAATATGGCCTTGATAATAGAAATGAAGCTGGAGCTCACTTCATAGAATTTTCTTTTTTTTAAGTTTTCATTGTGAGGTTTACATGGGAGAACGTCAACTTTACACTCATCCTATCGTATTTTGTTTCATTGCAATGATTACAATCCCCTCCATGCATCACCAAATTGCCAAAAGGTACACTACACAGGCCCACCCCTGCCTGCCAGCACACAGTCCCTCTCCCTCCCTGAGTCCAGTGTCCCCAGCTGCTCCATCTGTCCACGTCATCGTCTCTGTCTCCATCCCTGACATCACTGCCTCTCGGAGTAGAGTCCCGGTCTCTGTTCTTCTCACTTGATTCCCCCAGTGAACTCCGCTCCTAGGCTGTAAAATCAATCACTCTCCTCCTTTTGTCAAAAAACATCTTCTGTTTATAATTCCTACTCTCACAATCAGTCCTGATGGCAGTTATTTACTATTGTCTTATCCCCATTTCCTTTTGACAGCCCGGTCCCAACAGATTGGAAATCATTCATTGGAGGTTCTACCTACCCTTGCCCCATCTGAAACTAGGCTCCCTCTTGAAAGCTTGTAAGCCAGTCACTTCTTGCCTTTATAGGCCCCTCCATTTTGGCTAGCCAATGTCCAGATTGCCCCCATCCCTGTCAACTCTGTGTACTGAGGAGGTGGGAGTGATCGTCGCTGTAAAGATTTGTTCCCTTTTTTTGAGCTGCTACATCCATAAGTATAGGTAAAGTTCATCCAATTGTATCAGGTTACTCCCCCCACCCCCCCTCTTCTTCTAGTCGAGTTCTGATCGTCCAACCATTGAAGCCAGGTCAAATGGGTACTGTCTGCAAGTATGGGTGTTTCTGTACTTCATAGAATTTTTGGAAAACCAATGGCTTATTCATTACAAACATCTTTTAAACAACATAGAAAATGAGTGTACACATGGACCTCATCAAATGGAAATACACAGAAATCAAATTAACTACATCTGTGGGAAGAGACGGTGGAAATGCTCCCATATCATCAACCAGAACAAGGCAGGGGAAGATTGTGGACCAGATCATCAGTTGTTCATATGCAAGTTCAGGCTGAAGCTAAAGAAAATTAAAACAACTCCACAAGAGCCAAATACGACCTTGAATATGTTGTTAAGTGCTATAGAATCGGTTCTGACTCATAGCGACCCTGTAGAGGCTTTCCAAGGTGAGTTTAAACCACCGACCTAGCGGTCCAGCACATTATCCTAAAGCACCACATCAGGACTCCAACCTTGAATATGTTGTTGTTGTTAAGTACCTTCGAGTCAATTACGACCCATAGAGACCCTGTATAGGGTTTCCAAGGAGAAAGTGATGAGCCTGAACCACTGAGCTTGTAGTTCAAAAGACTTTGCAGTCATGCATTAGCCCACAGTGCCACAGTCTAGGACTCCAACCTTGAATATATCCCACCTGAATTTAGAGAGAATCTGAAGAACAGATTTGCTGCATTAAATACTAATGACCAAAGATCAGAAGAGTTGTGGGATGACATCAAGAACATCATACAGAAAGAAAGCAAAAGTTATAAAGAAGAGAAGAAAGAGGGAAACGACCGAAATGGATGTCAGAAGAGACTCAGAGTTGCTTTGCAGCATAGAGATGCTAAAGAAAATGGAAGAAATGAGGTAAAAGAGCTAAAACAGAAAATTTCGAAGTGCAGCTTGAGAAGATAAAGTAAAATATTATAATGAAATATGTGAACACCTGGAGTTAGAAAACCAAAAGGGAAGAACACGTTGCTCTGTATTTCTCAAGTTGAAGAAAAAGTTCAAACCTCGACTGGTAATACTTAGGGATTTTATTGGCAGATGGAGTCATAGTGTGGTGGTGTAGGATAAGCATTGGACTGCATACTACAGGGTTGGCAGTTCAAACACACCAGTAACTCCTTGGAAACCGTATTTATATGAGTTGGAAATGACTTAACAGAACTTAACAGCAACAATATGGGCAAAAATATTGAATGATGCTGAAAGCATCAAAAAAAGATGGAAGCAATACACAGAGTTACTGTACCAAAAAGAAATGGTCGGTTTTCAACCATTTCAAGAGGTAGCGTATGATCAAGAGCCAATGTTACTGAAAAAGTCCAAAGTGCACTAAAGACACTGACAAAGAACATTACTCCAGGAATTGATGGAATAAAAATTGAAATCTTTCAGCAAATTGATGCAGCATGGGAGGCACTCACTATTTTATACCAAGAAATTTGGAAGAAAGCTACGTAGCCAACCAATTGGAAGAGATCCGTATTTGTGCCCATCCCAAAGAAAGGTGACACAAAGGAACGTGGAAATCATCAGACAACATCATTAAAATCACATGCAATTAAAATTTTGCTAAGGATAATTCAAAAGCTGCAGCACAGTACATGTGAGGGAACTGCAGAGGTTTAAGCTGGATTCAGACGAGGATGTAGAATAAAGGGTATCATTGTTCATGTCAGATGTATCTTGACTGAAAACAGAATACCAGGTTATTTACCTGTGATTTTTTGCTTATGTGAAGGCTTTCAACTATGTCGATCATGACAAGCTATGAATAACATTGGGAAGAATGGGGTATTACAGAACACTTACTTGTGCTCATGAGAAACCTGTACATAGACCAAGAGGCATACTTTTGAATAGAACAAGGGGGCACTGAATGATTTAAAATTAAGAAAGGTATGTATTAGGGTTATATATTTTCATTATTGTTACTCATTCTGTATGCTAAGCAAATAATCTGAGTAGCTGCATTATATGAAGAATTTGGCATCAAGATTGGAGGAAAACTCGTTAACAGCCTGCTATATGCAGATGATACAACCTTGCTTTGTGAAAGTGAAGAGGACTTAAAATATTTACTAATGAAGACCAAAAGACCACAGCCTTCAGTATGGGTTGCACCTCAATGCAAAGCAAACAAAATTTCTTACCACTGGACCAATAAATATAACATTATGATAAATGGAGAAAATATTGAAATTGTTAAATACTTATTTTTCTTGGGTTGATTAGTAACACTCATGGAAGCCAAGGTCAAGAAATCAAGCGATGTATTGCATTAAGCAAGTCAGCTGCACAACACCTCTTTAAAGTGTTCAAGGGCAAAGCTGTTAGTTTGAGGACTAAGGGGGCACCTGACCCAACATACGGTCTTTTCATGTGAAAGAAAAAATTGTAAATGCCTGTGAAAGTTGGACAGTGAGTAAGGAAGACTGTAGAAGAATTGATGCATTTTAGTTATGTTGGCATAGTACGGTAAAAGTACCATGGACTGTCTTGGAAGTACAGCAGGAACTTTCTTTAAAAGTCAGAATGGCGAGACTTCACCTCTCATACTTGGGAAATTCTATCAGGAGGTACCAGTTTCTGGAGAAAGACATCAAGCAAAGTAAAGTGGAGGATCAGTGAGAAAGAGGAAGACCCCCAACAAGATGGGTTGTCACAGTGGTAGCAGCACTGGATTCAAGCTTAACAATGATCGTGAGGATGGCACAGGGCAGTGTTTTGTTCTGTTGTGCACGTGGTTGTTATGACTTGGAACTTACTCCTTGGCACCTAACAACAACATATCTCAAAAGAGATTGACTCAAAACACAACCTTCAGTAATCCTGTCTTATTAACATAACAAAGACAACCCATTCCCAAATGGGATTATTACCATAGATGAAGAGGTTAGGATTTACAATAAATATATTGTGGGAGACACAATTCAATGCATAAGAATTACATATTATTTACATTGTCTGTTGCTGCATAACAAATTACCCTATGCACTACTCAGCTTTAGATAACGTTTCTCATTTCCTACAAAGGATTTTTTTTAGGTGTCCTTGTGCATGTTTATTTTGGCTCAGTCTAGTATTATTACATTTAAATTTTTTGAATTCTGTAATTCACGTGGATTTGTTTTTTACAAGGAGAGATATAGAGCAATGATAGAGAAGTATAGTGTATGTTATTGTTAAGTGACGTTGAATCAGTTTCAACTCATAGGGACTCTGTGTAGGGTTTCTGAGGAGCAGTAAGTGGGTTTGAACTGCTGACCTTGTGATTCGAAGTCTAGTGCTTATCCTACAGCACCGCACTAGAGTCTGTGAATGTTCTTGTTAAATCCTGTATAGTGTTTCTGAGGAGCATCTGGTGGGTCTGAACCACTAACCTTGTAGTTCAAACCAACCTTGTAGTACTTATCCTACAGTGCTACACCTGGACTCCCATATAGTGTATGAACTTGTTCTATTTTATAATAGATTGTGTAGTTAACAAAACGTTATGGTTTGAATCAATGTAAAGATAGTTTTTGTCTTTCTTGCTTTTAGTTTTATTGGTGAGGAATCCGTAGCCGCTGGAGAAAGAAGTATTTTAACTGACAACCCTACGTGGATTATTGACCCTATTGATGGAACTACCAATTTTGTACATAGGTATGTTTTAAAAATTTTAAATTGTAATTAATGCCTGTTAATGAAGTAGACCTTTATAATACCCTGTCTAGAACAGAAACACGTTAGAGAATTGTACAACTTGTTGATGCTTCTTTAGTATATAAGAAAATGTATATGAAATACAATAGAACAAAATGTATTATGCATAATTTCTACCAGATATAGCGGAAGAAGAAATGCTATTGTAGTGGTGTCGTTGTATTTTTTAAATGTGGAACGATACTCACATATTGTAACATGAGAGAAGATTATAACACAGTGTTTGCAGTATGATGCCTTTTAGTTAAATTGAAAACTCAATACTAAATGCTTTTTTAAGGCTTTTATTTTCAGTAGTTAGTTTGAACATGTTCTGTCCATTTTCTTGATCTTGAATGTGAATTGTAATTACAGTGTATGTGTTACAGTTGACTCTCATTAGCTGTTTACTTTTCACATGTGGACCTCTACATTTTGTGTTGGAGTAGGGGCAGGTGATAACCATCGGTTTTGTGAAAGCAGACCCGTGTTTTCATGAACCTAGCCTATGAGTAGAATCACACACACAGAAAAAAAGAATTAAATTTTGATCCTGTTGCTCAATATTGAAATGAATTATTATTATTACTCTCTTTCCTTAACACCCATTGCCATGGTGTAGATTCGGATTCATAGCAACCTTACAGGACGGAGGAGAACTGCCTCCAAGGGTCCCCAAGACTACAATTGTTACTGTCACATCTTTCTCTCCTGCTAAGTAGCTGCTTGAGAAATACTGACCGTGTTCTTCCCTTTTGGTTTTCTAACTCTAAATCTTTGCATATTTTATTATAGTATTTGGCTTTATCTTCTCGAGCTGATCTTTGAAATTTCCTGTTCATCTCTTGCACCTCTTCAGTTTTTCCATTTGCTTTGGCATCTCTACGT